GGAGGAGGAGGAGGAGGAGGAGGAGGAGGAGGAGGAAGGAAAGAGGAGGCGGAAAAGAGGAGGAGGAAGCGAATTCCTGAGCCAGCGTGTAAAAAAAGAAAAGAAAATTCCCCCCCCAAAATTCAAAATAACTCCAGTTCGGGAGCGGGGATCCCGGGATCGCTTTTCCCCGCGATCCCACAGCTGGCGCGGGGATCCAGTGGGATCTCCCCCTTTTCCCAGCACCTTTGGGTGCTCCCCCCGCGGGAAAAAAATTCCCAATTCCAGCCCAATCCCGCACTTTTCCCCCTGGTTTTGCGCATGGCGAGAATTTCCTGTCAGGAATTTATTTTTTTTTTTTCCAACAAAAACCCCAAATCCCTTTTTGTTCCAGCCCTGGAGGGGTTTGGGGAGTTTTGGGGACACCAGCAGGGGAAAATCCGAAATTCCTGAAAATTCCAGGGGCGCTGGAGCTTTTCCTGGGAATCCTGGGGTTAAATTTCCTTTTCCACACCGAGCCAGAGCCATTTTACCTTCGGGCTGAGCTCGGCGGGGAGGGAGGGGAAGAGCGGGAAGGAAAATTCGGGAATTCTCCCCTTCCCAGGGGATCGGGAATGGGGCTGGGAGAATCCCAAATCCCAAGGAATTCTCCCCGATCTCCCCAGGGGGGGTTTTGGGGAGCAGCCGGAGCCCCCCGAGCGCCGGGAGGGAGGGGAAGGGGGTTGGGGGAATGTCGTCATTTCCCAGGAAATCTGCGGCAGGAGCAGCGCCAGGAGCGGGATTTTTTGGGAAAGGGGAGAAATTCCACTCGGGATTCCACGTGGGTGCGTCCGTAGGGACACGGAAATACTTTCCAGTTGGAAATAAATTGATTTTTAATGTCTATATTCTGTTTTTACAGCGGTGGGCAGGGCACAGGCGGGAGGCGCTTCCCAAATAAACTCATTTTAATCCCAAATAAACTCATTTTAATCCCAAAAAAACTAATTTTAATCCCAAAAAAACCTCATTTTAATCCCGAAAACCCTAATTTTAATCCCAAATAAGCTCTTTTTGTCTCAAATTCCTGCCACAGGTGTCCCTGCACCTCCCGTTATCAATGCCTGGATCGCTCCTGGCTGGGGATTTTTCCTCTTTTTGGGAATTTTTAGGCCTGGAGATGGGAAAAACCAAGGATTGGGATCTGCCAGGGCCCCACCGAGGGATCCCTGCTGAGGAATTTTTTTGGGAATGAGCTGGGCCAGAAAAGCTGGAAGTGCCTGTGTCGGAATATCTGAATATCCCAATATCAGGATATTGGATTATCCAAATTTCCTGATATCCCAATATCTGAATATGGGAATATTGGAATATCTGAATATCCCAATGTCCAAATATCTGAATATTGGAATATCCAAATGCCCAAATATCTGAATATCCAATATCCCAAAATCCTGAAATCCCAATATCCGAATATCTGAATATTGGAATATCTCAATATTCCAATATCCGGATATCAGAACATCCCAATATGTGAATACGGGAATATTAGAATATTTGAATATTGGAATATCCAAATGTCCAAATATCTGAATATCTGATATCCCAAAATCCCAATATCTGAATATCCCAGTATCCAAATATCTGAATATTAGAATATTCCAATATCTGAATGTGGGAATATTGGAATATCTGAATATCCAAATATCTGAATTTTGGACTATCCAAATATCCAAATGTCCAAATCTCTGAATATCTGATATCCCAATATCCCAGTATCTCAATATCTGAATATGGGTACACTGGAATATCTGAATATCCCAATATCCAAATATCTGAATATTGGACTATCCAAATATCCAAATCTCTGAATATCTGCTATCCCAAAATCCCAAAATCCCGATATCCCAATATCCCAATATCCCACTTTCCCAATATCCCAATATCTGAATATGGGTACACTGGAATATCTGAATATCCCAATATCCAAATACCTGAATATTGGAATATCTAAATAACCCAATATCTGAATATCCCAATATCCAAATATCTGAATATTGGAATATCTAAATATCCCAATATCTGAATATCCAAATATCTGAATATTGGAATATCTAAATATCCCAATATCTGAATATCCAAATATCTGAATATTGGAATATCTAAATATCCCAATATCTGAATATTGGAATATCTAAATATCCCAATATCTGAATATCCCAATATCCCCATACCCCAATGTCTGAATATGGGAATATTGGAATATTGGAATATCCAAATGTCCAAATATCTGAATATCCAATATCCCAATATCCGAATATGTGACTGTCCAAATATCCCAATAATGGAATATTGGATTATCCAAATATCCCAAGATCCCATTATCCAAATATCCCAATATTTGAATATCAGAATATCCAAATATTGGAATATCCTGATATCCAAATGTCTGAATATGTGAATATTGGAATATCTGAATATCCAAATACCCAAATGTCTGAATATGTGAATATTGGAATATCTGAATATCTCAATATCCAAATATCTGAATATTTGAATATTGGAATATCTGAATATCTCAATATCCAAATATCTGAATATTTGAATATTGGAATATCTGAATATCAGAATATCCAAATGTATAAATATTGGAATATCCAAATATTGGAATATCTGAATATCAAAATATTTGAATATTGGGATGTCTGAATATCCCAATATCCAAAAGTCTGAATATCTGAATGGTGGAATATTGGAATATCCAAATATTTGTGTTTATCAATGCATTTAATTGGGTATTTATTTGTGTGCCCCTGGGTATTTGTGTATTTATTGATCTGTATTTGTATATTTATTGATATACATCAGCATTTGTATATTTATTTATATGTTTATATAGCAACAGTTTTATATATTTGTATAT